CGCATCCCTAGAAGGGGCTGGAAACAAGTGGTTTATCGCTCAGGTTTCATTCTCAGTGATGTCGGCACCACTACCCAGAATGGCAGTGTTTCGGGCCTGGTCATTCCCCGTAGGCTCATCTGGCAAAAGCTCTGCAAGTGTTACTTTTCGTCCCACATCCTCTGCTGAACAATTTCCACTTGACAGTGAGTACCTCCCGGCACTGGTAACGTATGGGATGCCAGGACTTCAGAGTTGTATCGTTACCCACCCGGGTCCTTGGGCTCTTTAATCAACAGAAATTGACAAGAGGCCAGACGAGGAGTTCAGGCCAGGCTGCCGCACAAGGGAGTGAAAGCAAGTATCGGTTGAGGGAGGGGCAGAGGGGCGGCCGAAGGGGCGGCTTAGGGGGTCTGCCCACCCCCTTGGTGGTGCAGGGAACATGCCCTGCTTTTGCTCCAGGCACCTCAGAAGTGGCAGTTGGTTTGTGGCCTTTTTGTATCTCACTGTTCCTAATTTGCCCCGTTTGCGCATGCCTGCAGTTATTTTTAGTCCCTTTTAGTTTCTTTGTATCCTGTTGCTTGAGGAGACCCTTGTCCAGGTGCCAGCCCTTCAGCAGAGGGTCCCAGCCTAGCTCAGTAGGGGGTGCCAGAGCTACAGAGTAATATATAGGGTGCCAGGACCACACCATTAAAATAGATCACGATGTCAAGTTACTTTACCTTTTTTTTTTTTTTTGCGATACGCGGGCCCCTCACTGTTGAGGCCTCTCCCGTTGCGGAGCACAGGTTCCGGACGCGCAGGCTCAGCGGCCATGGCTCACGGGCCCAGCCGCTCCGCGGCATGTGGGATCTTCCCGGACCGGGGCACGAACCCGTGTCCCCTGCATCGGCAGGCGGACTCTCAACCACTGCGCCACCAGCGAAGCCCAAGTTACTTTACCTTTTAATGCCAGGTCTGTTGTAAAGAAGCTTGAGTCACATTTAATTAACTGTTAAAAATCTTAGGCTGGGTGGGATTTAAGAAATCATCTACCCCAGTATTAGGAAACTATTCAGTTCTAGTTTCTAGTGCTCTTGGGACTGGGAGTATGTTGAAAAGTTATATATCAAGCCATGTAGGAATCAGGATTAATTTTATTAGCCAAAAACATGACCATGTGATAAACACAAAATCACAAATATGAACAAATATGGCCTCAAGAAAACATACTGTTAAAGAACGAAGTGTCAGACCCTTGGCTGGGTCTGACATTTACATGAAAATTAATTTTTTTATTGTTTACTTGATTTGTTACTTGGAAGCATTTTTTTAGAAGGTACCATTTGGCTTATGATGTATGTTTGCAAAAAATAATTAAGATGGAGAAAATACTACATATTAACTTCTATTTTTAACTGAGACTTGAGAACAAGTGGCCATTTTTCAAATTGGGGGCGAAAGAGCTTGGTCCAGCTGGACATATTTTTCTAGTACCCAAGGAAAGAAATGTGTGAGAGCCCCTGATTTAATCCACCGTCTGCACTGATGTGGAACAGAAGCCAGGAGAGGCTAAGGGACTTGTCCAAGATCACAAAGTTTCATTACCAACAGATTATTCCTCCCTTGTAATATAGCACATTCAAAAATGTGGGCAAGCAGGATAGTAGGGAGTTTTCACAGTGATTATTTCTGGGCCATGGAGCTTGTGGCAGATTGCAATTTCCAAAGATAGCCACGTCAACACACCCACAGCAGTACATACCCCATCCCACACAGTCTTCTTACTCAGGACCCTCCTGAACCAGATGGTGGGCAGGAGGTCTGCCTTCCCTCCCCTCGGTCTTGGCAGGATCTTTTTGGTTGTGTCCAACAACAGAACATGGCAGCATGGACGATGCAAACTTCCAAAGCTAGGTCATAAAAGACATTATGTCTCCTGCCTGCCTCGTTCTTGGGACCCAGCCACAATGTTGTAAGGAAGCCCAGGCCACGTGAGGAAGACGCTTGTGGGTGTGTATTAAGTATGTCTTTTCTTCCGATGTTTTGACATATGGGGCCTTTTGGACCATGGGGAGACTGCCCCTTGCAGAGTGGAGATAGTAAACCATCCCTAGAGCTAGTAAACAATTCACCTGTGAGCACACCTTGCATATGCAAATCAACCCACCTGGAGACCACACCTCCCCACCTTCTCTATTGGACTTTTATACTCTAGGCTAGTATTCCCTGTCCTCGTCACCCCAGTGAAAGTACCACACCAATAGGGACAGCGCCTACACCCCAGAGCCCTCTGAAATGATTCAAACTAGCCAATACCAAGACCGCTTATACTGCCTCTCCCATTGCTTCCCAGGAAAACCACAATAAAGGCTCTGGCCCACTCCCCCCCACCCCCCACCCCCGCTCCCTCTGCCTCCTGACCCACCCTGCTGCTTCCCTGTGTGGCCCTGCCTGGTATCACAGGCCCCCTTCTCTTGGGAATCTGTGAGTAACAAACTGTCTTTTCAGTGGCAGTCATCTCCTGATCTTTTGGCCTCACTATACCTGAATAATAATAAAATCTACGTTTTAAAGCAGGGTGTTTGGCCAAGCTCCCCAGCGAGGGCTGTAGTTGGCTCCCAGCATCAACCACCATGTGAGCGGATACACCTTCGGATGAGTCTCCTCTCCAGCTGAAGCCTAGATTCTGAATTCCCAACTGACAGAAGCCATGAGCGGCATTGATGATTATTTGTTGTTTTAAGACTATATTTTAGGATAATTTATTATACAGCAATAGACAGCTAATACAGGGTTTTTCCTTTATACTTTTCTAAATATTCCAAGTTTTCTACAACGAACAGTGGCTGCTTTTATAAAAAGATTCGACCAATGTTATTTTTAAGAAGACAACTGGGCAAGCGTGAGGCATCTTGAATTTTTATTTATTTAAGTGCTTTCTACTCCACTGGAGACAATCACATTCACCAGCGGGGTTATTCTTCTTAATACAAATGTTTATCAAATATCATGTTAATACAAAAATGGCAAAATCTCACAACCACAGAAAGGGTCCAATACCAGCAGGACAGTCTTTAAAAGTCATGCCACAAATGCCAATCTCAACACTGTAGACACGATAGGCATATAAAAGTCAGTAGGAAAGACAATCAGAGCTCCTGTTCCCCCCTCAAGAAAGGCCTTAACAAGCAGCAGGATCTACACCTGCACAGAAGTAGGCAGATTCCTCTTGAAACCTGGTGGCAACGAGGCCCCAGAAGGACATTAAGAAGATGCCTTCACCTGCTGCCCCAGAGCTCAGCCCTCGGGAGCAAGACAGCCCAGCACCATGGGAGGAGGAAGATGCAACACCCAAGGACCACGACCTGGATCCCAGGCCGTGCCCCACTGGACCACCCTGGGCAAATCACGTAGCCTCTCTGAGCGGTCTCAGTCTCCCCGTGTAATATGCAAACAGTAATTTCATCTTGCCAGGTTTTGCAGGGAGAAATATATGAGAACACGGGTGAGAATGAGCACGTCTGTGATTGTATCTGACCTGTTAATTATGAAGAGGGGACGGAACACAGAAAAGCGTACATGGGGTGAAGGCTGCAGCCCACTGGTAAACCAGCTTCCAGAAACGTTAAGCTCTGGTGTGCAGCCTTTGCCGATTTCCAAGGTGTAAATATTCCCACCCTGACCAGTCTCACACGAGCCACGGTTTTAAGGACTTTTTCCAAGTTCCTGAATACCTAACATTCGGTCTCCAGGGCGCCACACGCATGTAAAGCACACCGGTGCCCTCTGTGACTTCTCACCTCCCACCGGCGGTTGACAGTGTCAAACAGGGTGGCGTCTGCATCCCTGCAGCATCCCCTCCACAACCCGCACGCATCTCCCTCCTGCGCCACCAACCAGACCACCTGTAGGACAGACACACGCCCCCTCCCTCCTCCACAGCTCACACCTCACGCCAGGGTTGACTTTTCCTAACCTCCCAGATAATCCAGCTCTCTGGCGGCACCCAGGCAGGAGGTTCCTGGATGCCCAGACTCCCTCAGGGACAGGGACAGTGGCCAATTGTAGGAAATCATCAGCCCAATGACAGCAGGAAGGTGGCGGCCAGGACTGGGCAGCCCGAGAGCAGGAAACAAATTTTACCTATCGTCTTCGTGTGGCCTAAAGAAAACACGCTCAACATGAGGGAAAACTTTATGTCGAAAGATCCTCATCACAGAGCTATGTTTATCACCTGAATTAAAAGCATGATTAGAGAAATTGTGGAGGGCTTCCCTGGTGGAGCAGTGGTTGAGAGTCCGCCTGCCGATGCAGGGGACACGGGTTCGTGCCCCGGTCCGGGAAGATCCCACGTGCCGCGGAGCGGCTGGGCCCGTGAGCCATGGCTGCTGGGCCTGCGTGTCCGGAGCCTGTGCTCCGCAACGGGAGAGGCCACAACAGCGAGAGGCCTGCGTACCGCAAAAAAAAAAAAAAAAAGAAAGAAACTGTGGTACACCCGCTCAATGTAGACTTTTAAAATAATGTTTATAAAGGGCTTGAAATAATAAGAAAAAATACTCAGAAAGTTAAGAGAAAAGGTAGGGTGTAAAGGTGTCTATAGCAAGAGGAGAAAACACCAAAGTGCAAAAGTACACATTGAGCGGAGAGAGCAGAAAGAAACAGGTGAGTGGTTGGTTACCTGAGGCAGACACTGCCAAATAATTTCTACCTGTCTAGCGTTTTCTGAAATTTTTATAGTAAGTGTATATTTTTTCCAAAGCTTTTATTGATACTTTATTTTAAATGTATTTATTTTTGCCTGCGTTGGGTCTTTGTTGCTGCGTGCGGGCTTTCTCTAGTTGCAGCGAGCAGGGGCTACTCCATCGCAGCGCGCAGGCTTCTCATTTCAGTGGCTTCTCTTGGTTGCGGAGCACGGGCTCTAGGCGCGTGGGCTTCAGTAGTTGTGGCTCACGGGCTTAGCTGCTCCGCAGCATGTGGGATCTTCCCGGACCAGGGATTAAACCCGTGTCCCCTGCACTAGCAGGTGGATTCTTAACCACTGCATCACCAGGGAATTCCAGTAAGCATATATTTTTATAATGAAAACATCTTTAAGGAAACAACCCCCGTCCAAATCACTTGGATATGCATTCCCGCAAATGAGTCTCAGGGTCTCTTCTCAAGGCCACCCTGACATGTGAAGACCTTGTCTGTTTCACCGGGGTCCTGTCTCCTTCACCCTGGGGGCTGCAGACCCACTCAGGGCAGAGGCAAAGCTCGCTACAAACTGGAGTTGGAAAAACTAGCCCGAGAGCCTCCCGGGAGCGCTCCGAGGTATCTTCCGATGTGCAGAGACACCAAGAGTAAAGGCCAGGGCGGTCAGTGTCCCCGCGGACCCTGGTAGTGAACTTGCCTCTTCTGGCCCCAGATGTAAAGGGACCAAGACTGCAGGAGGCTCCCTCGCCAAAAGCCTTCCCAGCCTCAGAGAGGAGGAGGTGGGCACCAAGCCAGACCAAGCTCAAAGTCGCCCGTTCCTCCCAAGCACGTGTCTGAGCACCTACTAAGCGCTGGACGCTCTGCTGGACACTGGGCATTGCCAACAGTCGACGGCCACGGGGCCTGCCCTCAACATCAAGAGGGCACCCCAGACCACTGCTCACACCCCTCCTGCCTCTCTGTCCTGCCCACGTCTCCAGGTTCAGCTAAAATGGGCTAAAATTAGATAGCATTGGTCTATGATAAGTACCGCTGACAGAGCGTCTCCAGATGTAAAACAAAGGGGACAACTCCGGATCCAGCCCTGGTTCTTAACCACGTTTAGTCTGGGCCCACGGGCCCCCCAAGACCCTTCCAGGGGGTTCCCAAAGTCAGCCTGTTTTCATCATGACCCTACAACATTATTTGCCTCTTTCCCACTCACGCTCTCACGCAGAGCTCTCAGAGGCTACAGGACGGGTGATGTCAGAAGCCACAGAGCCAAATGCAAAAGCAGACGGGAGACTCGGGTGCCCTCCGTTAAGCCAGACGTTCAAGAGATTTGCAAAAACACAAATGATGCCACTCTTCCCCCCTAAATCTTCTGGTGTTTGGAAACAATACCGTCATCTTTAATAGAAAAATGTTACTTACGTTAACGTGTGATGAGTTTATGAATTAATAGGCATTTTAGAATACTGTCGGGTTTAATTTCTCATCCTGTATGATGAATGTTCATAGATAGAGCCCATAAACAAAAGTTCTTTGGTGTCCTCAGTGGTTTTTAAGAGTTCAAAGGGGTTCCAAGACCAAACAGTTTGAGAACCACTGATCTACCAGCATTATCCAATAGAACTTTCTGCCATGATGGAAATGATCTGTGGCGAGGCTGTCCAAAAAGGTAGCCACTGGCCCCGTGGGGCTATTGAGTACTTATGATGTGGGTAGTGTGACTGAGGCACGGAATTCTTTGTTTTATTTCATTTTAATTGACTTAAAGAGCCACCTGCATTTAACAGCTACCATACTGGACAGCATTGCTGTTGACGATGTCTCTTATTTCTCTGTCCATTCGGGATTCTTTATTTCTACTTTCCCTTCACAAGTTACTTAGCCTCTCTGAGCCACAGTCTCCAAATCAGTAAAATGGGCTCATACCTACCTCTCAGAGTGACGATAAGGACCATGGAAATCACACAGGACTTGGGACTGAGCTAGGAAAAATCAGTGACAGGGCCCAGTTTAAGGAATGGCCTTGTGTATAAACGCAGGCTGCTGGGAGGGTTAACGTGAAACCACATGAAAAAGAGACAGCGAAAAGCAAGAGCACTGGTTAGGTCCCCAGCCCCGGGACACGAGTTCTGTCCCCTGGAGAACCTCACCAGTAACAAGCAGGGCGGCGCCTCAGAGAAGATGAGCTCCAGAGCAGGGCTTCTGAAGCCAGTGTCCAAACCACCCGGGAGTTTGCTGGAAGTTCAGACTCCAGAGTTCCAACTGCCCTTCCACCATGACCCGCTGGCTCAGCATTCCGGGGAGTGGGTGGGGATCTGGGGTCTGCAGTTTAGCATCTCCCTGGGTGGTTTTCTGGCCAAACCCTAGGGCTGAGAACAGCTGCTCTGACTTCTTCCAGCAAAGACGTGGCCTTGGCCCTGCAGTTAACAGGACAGAGCGGTTCCATACACCAATCGCAAGCTCCATTTTACAGATGAGGAAACTGAGGCACAGAGAATGAGGACTGGCCAGGGGCCTTGCACGCAGGCCAGTGTAGGGCTGGACTGACTCCAGATTCCTGAGACAAAATTTCTGTGTGTCTCGGTGACAGGCCTGACCCCAGGATCCTTCCGAGCTGCATCCCTGGCCAGCCTCCGAGAGGAACACCACTGGGAAGCAGGGGGCAGCGGTGTGCTGGGCCTGGCTTGTACGCATTTCTTCCCGATGCATCTTCAGGATTGTACTCCGGTAGGGTGAACCGGGCCATTGTGGGGGAAGGGGGGTTGGTATTTACACCATGGAAATTGGCTGCAGGCCAGGGTGTGGGGTTTTTTTGTTTGTTTTTAATTATTGTTAAAAATTTTGAGCGTGGCTTTCCTCCCTGGAGGAAAGACTTGGGGGTAGTGGGTTTCCTTGGAAGCAGGAGATCTGCTCAAGGGACGTGACGGTTGGGGGTTAGAGAGTCCTGGCTTCAAAGCTTCGCTCTGCCGGTTCGAAGCTGGGTGCCCTTGGGAAAGTCGCCAAACCTCCCTGTGCTTTGGTTTCCTGCTTTGTAAAACCAGCCAGTAATCCTCGCCTCACGGGGTGGGAGTGAGGGTGCATGTCCGTCAGTGGAGAGAGCATCTTTAAAGCCACTGGCACAGAGACCAGTCCCCGGCCCGGGAGGAGCGCCCTGCAGGTAAGCCCCCGCCTCCCTCAGCTTCCTGCTCCTCCCGTGAGTACACCTGAGCAGGTGTGCACATGTGGAAGTGGCTGCTGGGGTTTCCACAGGCACCTTCCGGACCCCACAGACCCCGCGATGCTATTCCCAGAGCCTACATCTCAGCATCTGGTTACACAGTACACGGCAGCAAATTTGACAGGTGCCTTTCTGACCAGGTCACTAGACCCATCTCCCAGCCTCTGAGCTCCACCTGCCCCTCGGAGCACCCGTGGTGCCTGAAGCCAATGTGGGTCTGTGGGCTGCCTGAGCAGCCCCTCCCCGTGTTCCCCATGGAGGCCCGGGCCCCAATGCCGGGGCTCAGGCAGAGCTGCAGGAAAACATTAAGAGCACTTTGGCTTTGGCAGACAGGTATGGAAAAGAGCTGGGTGAGCTGAAGCCCAGGACTGCCGCCTTCTAAGTCATCCCCGCCAGGGCTTTCCTAGGATCCTTTCCCAGCCTGAGCCCGAGGCTGATGGAAAGGAGGATGCTCAGCCCTGTTCCCAGCATACGTTCAATTTCCAAACAAGACAGAAAGGCAGCTCTGGTCTATGATATTGATTTCAATCCCTCCCTGGCCTGAGGGGCTGGTGGCCCTAGGGACAGCCCTGAGCAAGTCCTGCTCTGGGCCTTTCAGGGAAACCCTGCCGGCTGGGGACCAGGCCTCCACCAGCAAGCGTGCCTGCTCTGATTTGTCCTGACCATGGCCAACGGATTAACTAAGCAGGTGGTCAACTGCAGGCCTGGCCGCCAGCATGGGGTGCCATGGGACGTGTGCTGTTGAAATGTGAGCCTCTGCCCCACCCGCTTCACCTCCAGCCTCCGCATCAGGTCCCACCCCTCAGTGCGCCCCGGCAGTGCCCAGCTCAGGAGCACTTGCCAAAGTGCCCGGAATGTCAAACAGGCCAGTCCGCTGCCAACTGCTCCCCTGGCTCCTTGGGGCAAAACAGCCGCCATGCTGGGTCGTCCTGGCACATGACAGCTTCAGGGAAGAGGGAGCTGGCGGGCATCTGAATTTCCAGTGTCGTGACCTCTCCACTCCACATGCCCAGGGCACATCCTAGAATGCTCCTGGGACAGGGCCTTACCTAAGAAGAGACCGGCCTAAGGAACATCTTTTCCTTTCCTGCAATGTTCGTGATATATCTGGAGGAGGTCCAGGGTCTAGGCTTGGATTAAATCGAATCCTGGGAAATTCACTCTCAGAATGATGCTGGGGAAGAGAGACAGTTCATGGGAAGCAGGTCCTGAATTGGAATGGGGGTGGGGGAGCGTGGTCAAGGCTGCACAGAATACCCAGAATACCCTCCAGTGTCCTCACCAGCCTGTCCACAGTCAGAAATTCCACCATTAGTGATTCATTCCTTTGGGCAGCACAGGCTCTGTCCCCTCATTATCATTATCAGGGGTTGCCTTCCAACCAAGGGAGCTAATTAGGACACCAGGCCTGATGTTTTACAGTCATTAACTTGCTGAATCTTCAAGCAACCCTGCAAGGTGTAGCCTTATCACACCCATCTTACAGCAGAGGACACTGAGGCCCAGAGAGGTTAAGGAATCGGCCCAAGCCCTCAGCAAGGGGGCGATGCCGCAATTGGTCCCAAGTCTAGCAAGATGCAGTCCCTCCCTCCAGGAGCTCCTGGGTTGGGTGGCAGGTGCAAGTACCAGGGTGACAAAGGACAAGGCTCCGAGTGTGGGCAGGTGAGCCCAGGGGCTTTGGGGAAGCAGAGGAGGGAGCCCCTAAGTCAGAGGAAGGTCAGAAGTTCTTCAGTGCTGATGCCCGAGTAGGGCTTTGAAGGATGTGTAGGAGTGAGTTGGTTGAATGGCGGGTGAACAGAGTCCCCATCAGAGGAACCGGCACCCCAAAAGGTGTGGGAGATAACAGGGCAGGCTGTCTAGGGGAAAATGTAAGACCCAACACCCAGGAGGAGGAACAATGAGATGCAGGTATCAGAGGAGTTCAGCGGGGGCTGGGGGGCCAGTAAAGAGAGCCTGGGTCAGTGTCCCAAGCACCCAGCATTGGCCCTGTCACAGGGCTTTGGTCCCCATCAACCCCTTGATGACGGGACTGTCATCTTGGCCTGCCATGGTGCCATGCTTTGGGAGCTTTCCTAAACAGTATCCCAGAACCCACGTGACCCCTCCCCACCTCAGGCTCAGGCAGAGGTCAGGTCACAGTGTCCCTGCCCCCAACCAGGGGCAAGCCTTGCCCTCCAGCCTGACCTTCCCCCGCAAAGCTTCCCCTCCCCCCCCAACTCCAACCCTGACCCCAAATGATGAGAAGTACTTGGTGGGCTCCACAGGGCAGGTGTGCAGAACAGAGGCAGCTTGCAGGGTCTGGGAGTGTCAGTGTAGCACACACACACACACACACACACACACACACACACACACACACACACACAGAGGCAAGAGGACAGAACATCCCCAAGGCATCTCCCAGCTCAGAACCTGCCTGCCTGAGGAATGTGTCGGACGATTTAATACCGGCTTGGATATGGGATTCCAGATGCCGGAGTCCTGAAATACCCTGGAATGTACGAGAACTAAGCATAAGGCATCTTGTCTTTGCCCACTTGACTCTGGTTGGGAGTCGTAGAACGAAGCCTGTAGAATGAGACAGATCTTGACCCAGAGAGTCTGAGATTCCAGGTCAGACCCTGGATCTAGGCCTGGATCCCTCCCAGTAAATGTCCCTGTACCGGGTACAGATCGCTGGCCCAGCCCTGGGAGGGGGCCGAGGATAGGCCCCTGGAAGCCTTTTCTTTGGGCTACCGGGGGATTCAGAGGCTGGGGTAACCCAGTCACTCTGCCCAGATCCCTATCAAATCAGCCGAGGCCTTCTCTCTAGGGCTCATCGGAGGAGACTCCAAGGGCCGCTGATTGGCACCCGGTAAGAATCTGAACCACAAACCCTAAACCGGGAGCAAGTACACAAGTGCTTGGGGTCTGCCTGCCCCTCCCCATTCCCACCCCACCCCCAATGAATGGCTCTCATAATTTCTCTGGATTTTTCGGCATGAGAAGAAATGGCCAAGTGACAGCTTTCCCATCCCCAACCACCCATTCCTCTGCACTGAGAACCAGCTACGGTGCAGTAGAACGACAGGGGCTGCTCTGGGTACACTCGGTCTCCCCCCACGGGCCCAAACCGACCCCTCTAGGGGATAAGCTGCTCCCTGACATGGAGACACTGAACTGGTCTGGCCATGACCCCAGGGCAGAGCACACGGGGCAAGCAAGGCAAAGAGGTGCCATCATGAGTGCCAAGTCGATTGGTAGTGGCTTCCCAGAGCAGTCTTGGGAAGGATCCTGATACCACGCCACGCTGCAGTTGATTGGTGATGTCTGCCACGGTCGTGGATATTCACCATCCCTGATCTACAAGCTGGGTGACTTTCCCTGAGCAGGGGACAATTCCCCAGCCAGGACTTTGGTAGCAAAGAAGGAGGCCCTGGCCACCCAGGTATAACTAACCCACTAGACTCCCTGATAGATTTCTCAGGACCTTATAGGAAGCTCATATTGGCCCATCATTCCTCAATTGGCCAGGACCACGTCTGCCCCCTTTTCTGATGATGTTGTATTAGGAAACATTTGTCTAGAATAGGAACACATTACAGGGTTAATTTCTCCTCCGTAAAAATGACTAAATGCTTTCTTTCTCACCTAGGACCCAAGGGGTGGTCTGGCTGTCACCAGAAGTAACCTTGGACCCATCAAAAAGCTCTACCCATAGGAGGAAAGACGGGGGGCCTGGGCGCTGGGCTCAAGTTCACAGAAGCACTCCCTGTGATGCTCTGCTCCAAAAGCCTAAATGTCCTGTGCAGGCTGAGCCACCTCATTTGGACACCTTGGCCTGCAGGGTGCTGGGCAGATACAGGTACCTCCAGATGGCATAGTAGTGGGTACCAGCACCAAATGCCACAAAGAGATGCCAGATGGCGTGGGCAAAGGGGATCCTCCCGTCACTCTTGAAGAACACCGTGCCCAAGCAGTAGAAGACCCCTCCGGTCACCAGCTCCCAGATGCCCTCGGTGTTGGGCTGTCGGCAAGGACAAGGGTGAGCACAGGTCAGATGAGCAGCCAGCAAGACCAGAATCACCCAGCCATTCCCCCACCACCCAAGGCGAGAAGACGTGTGGATGGTGAGGCAGCCCAGAGCCCCAGGTGGGGCATCTCAACACAGCGACGTCATCAGTTCTCCCCACATTCATTCTCCAGTGTAACACATTTCTATCAAAATCTCAAAGAATGTTTTCTAGCTTTGTTATCTTTTTCTAAAAAGCAATCTATCTGGGTGTATCCCCAAAGAAGTGAAAGCAGAGACTCAAACAGGTACTTGTACATCCAAGTTCACAGCAGCATTATTCACAGTAGCCAAAAGGTGGAAGTAACCCAAGTGTCCATCAAGAGAAGAATGGATAACAAAGTGTTATTCACGTTACGTTATACAATGGAATATTATTCAGCCTTAAAAAGGAAGGAAACTCTGACACATGATACAACATGGATGGACCTCAAGGATGTTATGCAAAGTGCAATCAGCCGGTCACAAAAGGACAGATACTGTAGGATTCCATTCACGGGAGGTCCCCGGAGGAGTCAAAATCATAGTCAAAAAGTAGAAGGGTGGCTCCTGGGGGCTGAGGGTGGGGGAGGGGAGTTAGTGTGTAACGGGGACAGAGTTCCAGTTTGGGACGATGAGAAAGTTCTGTGGATGGATCATGGTGATGGATGCACAGCAAGGTGAAGGTACTTCATGCCCCTGAATTGTACACTTAAAAATGGTTAAAATCATAAATCCTATGCATATTTTATCACACTTTTTTAAAGTAATACATACTCATGGCGAAAAATTTTAGAGAAAAATGAAGTGCAGCAAGAAAAAAGCAGCAGTCCCAGCCCTCTGAGGTGCGCACTATTAACACCTGGGTTTTTGTTGGTTATGGGGGCTCAAAGAACAGGAGGGACGGAGGGAACAGGGAGTAAGAAGAGCCCACTGCCCCCTCTCCCTGAGCCCACTTCCCGCAGGTATCACTGCTTACCACCAGTAACGGTGTCTGCCGGTATCCTTCCAGAATTGTCTAGACACACACGATATACCTACGGTCTGCACTTCATATACATGTACGTGTGCAGGGGAACTAATCATTTTAGAAAAGGGGGCTCGCACCATCCCTGCCGTCCTGAGACATCAGTTCCACGACAGAGTCTTGTGGAGATCAGACTACATCCCCACGTGGAGATCCACGCCAGTCTTTGGAACAGCTGGGTAGTATTTTCATTGAACATATGTATAGTCACGCACCCAGTTCTCAAGAGGTGATACCTGAGTATTAAGGACATATTACAGTAACACTTCCCAGCGCTTACTATGTGCCAGGCCTTGTACACAGCGCAGGGGGCCTTACGTGAGGTAACTAATGCCATCTTCACAGCAATCTCACGAGGCAGGGTGACTATGTGACAGGCACGGACACACGCCCACGACAACATGCCAAGTGAGAAAAGCATGTTGTAGAACAGTGTGATCCCATTTTTGTAAAAGAAAAATAAACAAGTTAATACGTCCGCATATCCACATAGACTTGCCTATAGATAAAAAATGGAGGGAATTCTCTGGCGGTCCAGTGGTTAGGACTCAGCGCTTTCACTGCCAGGGTTCAGTCTCTAGTCAGGGAACTAACATCCCGCAAGCCAAGTGGTGCAGCCAAAAAAAAAAAAAACATGTAAAAGATACACAACGAACCATTAATGGTGGTTGCAGCTGGGGCATCACATTGGGGAGGGGGTGAGAGGGGGATTTCAGCTCTTTTATACATTTTCAGACAGGACTTATTTTTTGCAGTGAGTATGTATTTAAATATACACTTACAATATATGTATATATGTATTTAAATTATGTAATACATAATTTGATGGATATTATATAATTAATAGATACAACTTAAACATACATATTTAAACAAGTAAACTTGGTGGAGGGAAGGTAATCTGTAAAAATAAATACAAATCACAGGGAAAATGTTGAGTAGGAAAACTAATGGGGAGAGATTTCACTGCCAAGTATTAAGATGCAACAAAAGCTAAAATAAGTAACATGGTTTGGTACTAGTATAAGAATAGGCCAACTTGTGAAACAGACCCACGTATACGTATATGAAGCTAACATATGATAAAAGGAACATTTTTAAATGGTAGGTAAATAACTGCCTAATCACTTGGGGAGGAATCACCATATACATAAGAAACGGCGGTGGGAATACAGAGTTTAAAAAAGTTAAACCGTAAAAGAAACAGGAGAAAATATAGGTAAATACTTACATAAACTTGGGAAAGGGAAGACCTTCCTAACCATAACACTTAAGGTAAAGCCATAAAATTAAAAAAAAGAAAAAGAAAAAAAAAACGTGCTAGATTTGACTACATACATTTTCTTTAAGAGCTATGTATGGATACTAACACACTCAGAAAATTTTCACTTCAAAATATTTTCAACTTTAAAATAAACCGCTACTCATAGATAAGAGATTAATTTAGACAAAGATCAATGCCTCAAATATATATAATATAATGTCATTTAAATTTATAGGATAAGTTATTTATTGGTCATTTCAAACAGATAACAGTCAATTTTAATTTTGGGGAAAAAAAAGAAATATCTATTTAAACACAAATTCCTCCAGCAAGATCTATAGGACATACGTCCTTTCTTCTTTTGAAATAATTTTATTAGCTATAATTGACACACCATAAAATTCACCCTTTTAAAGTTCACAATCTAGTGGCTTCTCGACTACATACATTTTTAACATCTGCCAACAATAATCATTTAAAAGTAAGGAACTGTTACCTGGCCTAGGGAGGTACCAGCAGGCTGAGTTGACCGTGCCCATTTGACAGAAGGGACAACTGAGGCTCAGAGAGGAAAGGGGATCCACCCACGGCCACACAAGCTGCTGCTCTTCCATGGCTGGGGCCCTGAGGCCTCTCCCTGCAAGGCTCTCCTGCTCACAGGGCGAGGTGGTGCAGCCCAAAGATCCCGATACTCGGGGTGGGAGGTTATGGGGCCACATCCCAGCTCAGCCCCTTGAGGGCTGCATGTCCTTGGGCCAGTCACCTTCTCTCTCAGAACCTGAGCATCCTTGTTCATAAAACGGAGGTGGTCACATCCATCTCCAAGGACGCCTGGGGCGGGGAAGTAAGGTCCTGTGAGCAAGCTTCCTGCACGTCACAAGGGCTCAGGACGCACAGTAAAGAGGTCAACCTTCACGTGTCAAGAAGCAGTTTAGGGTGTGGAAGCATCAGAGGGGGTGTCAGAAGTCTGAGACTTGGCTCTGCCTCCATGGCCACCTATGTTATTATTATAGATTTAGTTTAGCGATCGGGTACTTACTCTGCTCCGGGCACCATTCTAATCACTGTCCATGGGTTTTTCTTACTTGATCCCTAAATAGGCGGGAACTGGAGCCCCGAGGGACTAACGAACTCATTGGAGGTGAAGCAGAGAGAGGAGGTGCCGTAGAACCGGGGAGCCGAACCCTGGGGTGACCTGCACGTTCTCCTGCCTCAGCCCGCAAGTCACGCTGACCCCGGGCCTCAGTTCCCTCGTCTGCCAGAGGAGAAGGTTCAACCTGACAATCTCCAGAGTCACTGTGAGTCCCCTCCAGCCAGACAGGAGGCCCCACGCCGGGTGGGGGCAACTTACCATGGAAAGGATGACCAGGGCGGGGAAGAAGCCCATGACGACGTAGCAGAGCAGCTCCACGAGCTTGTACCTGCCAGGAAGACAAGCCATCTTGGCCTCAGGACAGCCTCCCCACAAGGGATAGCTCCCCGCTCGGGTTAGGAGGGGACACCCTGGCCGGAAGCATGAGAGAAAGGGACTCCACCCTCTGCCCAGCACTCCTGGGCCCAGATTTCATCCAGCTACACCCGGCAGGTGCTGGCAGAGTTGGGTGGCCATGGGAGGGTCTCTTTCCCTCTCGAGACTTGGTTTCCACATCCACGAAATGACATTTGAGGATTGCAAATGCTGGGTGTAGCATGCCTATGGGTGCTTCCCATGCTCAACCCAGGGCAGACATTACTATTCGATCCCCGCACCTTTCCGCACAAGGCCCAAGCAGCCACTCTCCATCCGAGTGGCTGCACCAGCTGATACCTGTTTGCTGTCCCTGGAGATTCCAGGAGTCTGTTATTCCCTTTGGCTTCTCTAGCTCTGCTTCTTTCCCACACTTAATCACTCCCAGCTGTCACTCAGCAGGATGGAAGGAAGTGGGCAGCCCTGAGAGCCTCTCCCCCTTATCCGCTAACACAGCTTCGGGAAGGCAGGTAATACCTGACATCATTCAGTGGGTCTAGGAACCTACAATGCCTTTTTTTTTTTTTTTTAACTCTTCAGATTGACCCTATGGGCTGTGGACCTGGTGGCCATCAATGGACCTGAACACAGGGATGCCAGGCACAGCTGAGCCCTCATGCTTCTGGGGTTATCCTGGGGTCTTGTCTCACTGGGGGCAGGGAGGAGGCCCTGATGGAGGCACCCCCCCACCTGAGGCCGCTCCCCCAAGCCCTGGCTTACCGCTCATGGAAGAAGAAGACATAGATGGTGCCCACAGAGGCCATGATCCAGACCAGCCATCGCATGTGCGAGGCCCAGGGGCCCAGCTCGCGAAGGTTCAGCCTGGGAGGGAGAGCCAAGGGCACAGCCTGAGGCGGGCACTGGGATCTAGCCCTCCACAGCCAGCCCGTCACAGGAACACCGACCCCAGAGAACCCCTGTCCCCATGGCTCCATGTGTGGGATGTGGCCTCTCACGGGAGGACACGTGGAGAGACAGAAAGGGAAACTGAAACAATAGGCAATTATTAGAGCAAAATTAGCACAACTGATAATGTCCAAGCACTGAAAGAAAAGGGCATCTCAAGCCAGTGGGCATATAAACAAGTAAAGCCTGTTTGGAGAATGTATCGGACTCTGAAGGGCACGTAGCCCGTGGCCCAGGCACTCCAAGTTCAGGGGCTGGCCAGAGGAACGCTGTTTTGCGAGCACACAGAGGCACAGAAAAGGACATTCATCCCAGCAACAGTCCCTGTAGGAAACGCCTGAAAACCGCTCAAACTGGCCACCAAAAGGGGACAGGAATATAAGGTGAGTATCCCTCCAGGCTGGTTACTAATGTATGGACTCTCAGCTCTACATTCACCCTTTTTGCTGGCTGGGTTTTTAACTGAGCTGGGCCTCATGAATTTCTTCCTTTGCAAATGGCACAGCATCAAGTCTGTCAGTAGAGGGTGACGGAGAGACTTTGCAGAAGGAATTCCTTCTTTCCTTCTGGATTCCTGTGACTCTCTCCCAGGCTCCCAGAAAGTGGGCTTTTCTCTCCACTCCTTGGCACAGGTGGTGTCTCCAGGGCCAGGCATCTGTGGGTCCCAGCCTCCTCCAGCCTTTGGCCTCTGTGTGTTTTCTCCAGCTGTTGGCTTAGGCACACAGCCGGGGCCCCGGACAGGGCAGGCCTGTGCCCCGCCCCACACACATGCATTCCTGTCCAGCACGCCGACTGCCTTCAACCTGTGCAGCCGTCTGCACAGCTAAACTGCACGGAAACGCTCCAGATTCCTGCAGAGAGGGACTCTGGTTCCAGAAGATGGTGATTTTTCTTTTGCCCACCTCAATATTTATAACTCTACTGTGTTTGTTTTCCGAAGCACTGGGGAAGGAAGATTCTGTGTCACACTTGATCCTGCCAGTTTTTTCCATCCTTCGTGACATGGTCCTGCTGGCCTCGTGAATCACGTGAATGACGTCTGTGTCCTCTGATTCTCTCTCTCTCAACCCCACATCCAAGCAACCGCCAAGTTCTGCCGACTCTTCCTCCTACAAAGCCCGCAAGCCAGGGCACATCTCCCCACCTCGGCACCTGTACCCCTCCTTCACGGCACAGTTGTGGTTCATTCCTTGTGTCAGTATCCTTGGGACAGTCAACGTCTGCATCCTCCGTGAGACTGTAAATCCCATAAGGAGAGAGAGTCTGTGTCTTTGCTCACAGCCGTATCTTCAGACACCAGCACGGGATGGGCACAGAGCCGGTGCCCAAGTGGTCACAGCCAAGGATAAAGAGTAGAAATCCAGGCACTGAATCAGCCAAGCGGGGGACAGTCAGAGGGCTATTCTAGAAATCTACATCAAGGATAGTTATGGCAGCTGAGCACAAAACCTAGCTTTACTCTAATTGGCAACATCCAAAAAGAAACCTGAGATCACCTGGCTCCCAACAACTACAGGTGGTGCCTGGGGGTGACATGGGGCCATCAGGAGGCGGCCTTGTGGACTGAGTGCCCAGCCACGGCTTCTGGCTTCTCCCCCCTGCTCTCAGCTTCTCCCATGGCTCCCACCTACCCACTCCAGCAGCAGCCCCTCCCTCACCCAGGACCAACACTGCTTCTCGGAGCCTCCATACGCCTGCCCACCTGGCATCCGACAACCAGAAGCATCCTGGTCGGCAGGACAGAAGCACGTCCCCTCCTCCCGCAAAGCCCAGCTGGGCATGGGGCTGCCTCTGACGATGTCTCCAGGCTGACGGCAGCAGGGCTGATTTCCTAACGCTCCCGAGAGTCGCTGATTTCCTGGGGAAAGCTGATGCCGGAAACCCGGGCATCCCCTGCTCTACATCCCCTCTCCCCCACCTTCCGTCACTCAGTCCACTCAGTTTCCTGTAAATGTCTTTTCCATCCATCCATCCATCCATCCACCCACCCATCCATCTATCCGTCCTCTCGACTCCAAGGCTGCTACCAGGGCCCCAGCCATCACAATCTCTCTCCCAGGTCCTTGCACCAGCCTCCTCACACCTCCCTGCTCCCAAGGCATCACCTTTAAGTCCAAAAAAGAAAACTACATCAATATCCTGTTTCAAACCCCCAACCACTCCTCAGTGTAGACCCGCAGCTCCCGTCTGTACCCTGTTCACCACCACACCCGCGCTACAACGGCCCGAGGACCGTGGAGAAACAATCATCCTCAAATGCCGGTCACAGGAGGTAGAGGCCTGTTTACTCGCCCAGAGCCCGTCCGCAAGCAGACTGGACGCTGACTCCTGCGACCAGGACTCCACGACGCTCACCCCATGTTGCCCGAAAGAAGCAAGATCCGAAGGAACGACGATCCCATTAACATGAGGTAAGAAATCAGGCAAAACGACCCTATGATGGTAGATGTCAGGACTGTGGGGGGCAGCGGACTGGGGAGGGGCTGGAGATGTTCTGTTTCTCCACCTGGGTGCTGGCTGCAGCGTGTGGGAACTCACTGTGCATATCCCCCGGGCACGTTTCAAAAGCAGTCGTCGGGCTTCCCTGGTGGTGCAGTGGTTGAGAGTCCGCCTGCCGATGCAGGGGACACGGGTTCGTGCCCTGGTCCGGGAAGATCCCACATGCCGCGGAGCGGCTGGGCCCGTGAGCCATGGCCGCTGAGCCTGCGCGTCCGGAGCCTGTGCTCCGCAACGGGAGAGGCCACAACAGTGAGAGGCCCGCGTACCGCAAAAAACAAACAAACAAACAAAAAAAAGCAGTCATCTTTATGCGCACCGACAAAACCCCGGTGATTAGTTGAGATGATAAAAAAGAACGCTCCGTTTATGACAGCCAAAAATGGGAATTCCCCAGGCAAAAATGGAACAAACTTCTGTGGCTCCCACTCCTCAGAGGCCAACGTGGCTCCCACTCCTCAGAGGCCAACGTGCAGATTCTCAGAGCAGCACACCTCCTCCAGGAAGCCCTCCCGAGGCCGCCTCTGCAGGGTGGTGCCTCCTCTGAGCTCCACGGCTGCATTCGCACAAGCCCGTGTCACCGTGTTGTCACTGTCCTGTCACAGAGCCCCTCTGCCAGCTAGAACCTTAGCGTCCTGACCCCCAGCACTGCCCGGTCACCCAGACACATTCAACAAGTGTGACTGGAACGGCCCTTCTCCCCTCACAGGGGCTCTGCAGGCTTCCCGGCTTTTCGCGTGTGACCTGGGTGTTTCTTTATTCCAGAACTTTCGAAAACCCTGAGGCACTTGCTGGGGGAGTTTATTTTTTTGTTTTTCCTTTTTTAATTAATTTATTTATTTATTTATTTTTGGCTGCGTTGGGTCTTTGCTGCTGTGCGCGGTCTTTCTCTAGTTGCAGCAAGCAGGAGCTATTCCTCGTTGCAGCGCACGGGCTTCTCATTGCGGTGGCTTCTCTTTGTTGCGGAGCATGGGCTCTAGGTGAGGGGGCTTCAGTAGTTGTGGCACATGGGATCAGTAGTTGTGGCTTGCAGGCTCTAGAGCGCAGTTTCAGTAGTTGTGGCTCACAGACTTAGTGGCTCTGCAGCGTGTGGGATCTTCCCGGACCAGGGCTGGAACCCGTGTCCCCTGCATTGGCAGGCGGATTCTTAACCACTGCGCCACCAGGGAAGTCCCTTGCTGGGGGAGTTTAAACTGGTACAATCTGTGGAGGGTGACTTGGCAACAGTTAGCCAAATGAGTAAGGCCCACTCCTGCCCCCCAGCCGTCCAATCCTCAAATTTACCCCACAAAGATCAGGCTTGGCCATATGAACCTGCTGTTTCTGTAGATCAGAAAAGGTTGCCTCAACAATTCCACCTGATTCGAGCCAACAGAACCAAGCACCTGTGCTGAGTGGCACAACAGCAAGGACTTTCACTGCAGCCCTGTTTGTTATAGCAAAGGAAGGGGGAGTGCCTACGTCATAAATAGTCATCAATAGGGGTGGCCGGGGAACATTATATTGCTGTAAAAAAAAAAGAAAGAAAGAAAGAAAAAGGAGTGGGGAAATCTTCAAGGTACAAATACGGAAAGATGTCCCCAAGTCCACAACTAAGAGAATGAAAGCAAACTGCAGTTTGTACAGTATCCTTCCTTTTGTATTAAAGTAGGAAAGTATAAGTGTGCGTGTATTTGCATATATACATATGCATATATGCAAATGTGTGTCTGTACATGTACTCATACATACACGTTTGCTCTTTCCTACACAAAAGCAGTCCGGAAGGATACACAGGAAACTGGTACTAAGTGGTTGCTTCTAGGAAGGAGAATGGGTGGTGGGTGTCTTTTTACCTACACGCTTTTGTGCCAACACATCACCCAGCCAAACACGAAGAAATTCAAACAAAGGAAAGGGAGGACGCCAGCCCTCCCAGGGACCCGCAGAGACACTCACCAGGGCGCGTAGGAGGCCGCGATGAAGAAATAGATGACCATGCGGTCGGACATGTGCAGACAATGCTCCACCGTCCTGTGGCAGAGAAGGCGGGTTACGGGCCCTGCCCTGGACCGACGGGCTTTGGGGGAGCCTGGGCTCGGGGCTGACGCACCTCCGTCCACCATGACCCCTTGGGCCTCGGTGTCCCCATCTGTGAGTGACCAGAGCAGTGGTCTTCCAACCAGGCTCCCTGTCACCCTAGGAGTTGAATGGAGACACCTTGGGGGTACCACCGAGGACCCTCCTCCCCCTGACAGCATCCTCCCATATTTTAATCAGAGAAAGTCTGCATTCTGTTTTATATACTGGGCTTTTTGAAAGATTTCAAATGATAAAGAATTCAGCAGCTTAAAAAAAAAAAGTGTGACTAACAAACGTAGTAAGGTAGATAGCTAGGGGGAAGCAGCCGCAAGGCACAGGGATATTAGCTCGGTGCTTTGTGACAGCCTGGAGGGGTGGGATAGGGAGAGTGGGAGGGAGGGAGACGCAAGAGGGAAGACATATGGGAACATATGTATATGTATAACTGATTCACTTTGTTATAAAGCAGAAACTAACACACCATTGTAAAGCAATTATACCCCAATAAAGATGTTTAAAAAAAAAAAAACAAAGAAGGTGGGAGAAACAGACTCACAAAAAGAGAGGACAAAGTAGTGGTTACCAGGGGGGAGGGGGAAAGGGGGAGGGGCAACATGGGGGAGGGGATGAAGAGGCACAAACCATTACATATAAAATAGGCTACAAGGGGGATTCCCTGGCGGTCCAGTGGTTAGGACTCAGCACTTTCATTGTGGTGGCCTGGGTTTGATCCCTGGTCGGGGAACTAAGATTCCACAAGCCGTGAAGCATGGCCAAAACACTAAATGAATAAATAATAAAATAAAATAAGCTACAAGGATGTATCGTACAATCCAGGGAATATAGCCAGTATTTTGTAGTAACTATAAATGGAATATAAGCCTTAAAAAAATTGTGAATCACCATGTTGTATACCTGTAACTTATATAATACTGTACATCAACTATACTTCAATTAAACAACGAAAGAAATTCAAGGACCTACTGTATAGCACAGGGAGCTATACTCAATATTTTGTAATAACCTATATTGGAAAAGAATCTGAAAAAGAATATATATATATACAAACACATATACATATATATGTATGTATAACTGAATCACTTTGCTGTGTACCTGTTAACTAACACAACATTGTAAATTAACTATACTTCAATTAAAAAATAAAATAAAAATAAAAATGAACTTAAAAATGCATACTCAGGGCTTCCCTGGTGGCGCAGTGGTTGAGAGTCCGCCTGCTGATGCAGGGGACACGGGTTCGTGCCCCGGTCCAGGAGGATCCCACGTGCCGCGGAGCGGCTGGGCCCGTGAGCCATGGCCGCTGAGCCTGCGCTTCCGGAGCCTGTGTTCCGCAACGGGAGAGGCTACAACAGTGAGAGGCCCGCGTACCGCAAAAAACAAAACATACTCAACAGAAGTCTAGCAAGCAGAAGAAAATATGGAAAATTAAATGTTTATTAATTCTATTCTATTCTCCTTTCATTAAAGAAAAATAAGTGCAAAACCAACAAACCTAGGTGCCCCCTGAAGACCCTCTGGGTTCTGGCATTCTGGTTCAGGTCCAGGCTCTGAAGCCATAAGACCTGGGTTCGAATCCCAACCCTACCACAGAGGGACTAGGGCCTTGAGCAAGTTACTTACCCTCCCTGGTCTCAGCTCCCTCAGCTGTAAAACAGGGAGGACACTGGCCACCTATCGGGGTCACTGTGAGGACGAAGAGGGTCAGGACTCAGCACAGCGCATAACAGGAAGTGTTCATAAACGTTACTGTTTCCCTTATGACCTCCCCTTGAAGAGCAAATTACAGTCATCAATACCTCTGACCAGTGTGGTAGCCAGCCTCCAAAATGGTACCTGAGGAGCCCCACTTTCTGGTCCTCACACCTGTGTGCGGCCCCTCCCACAACAAATATGGCAAACATATGGAACCAACAGGAGGTTGCAGAAATGATGGTGTGTGGTTTCTAAGGCTAGATCATAAAAGATATCACAGCCTCTGCCTTGTTCTCTTGAATCACTAACTTTGGGAGGGGACGAGCCATGTGGCCGAGGGGAGGTCCACGTGGGAAGGACTGAGCACCCCCAAGCATCCAGCACTGACATGTCAGGCCTGGGAGGGAGACACCTTGGAAGTGACTTCTCCAGCCCAGGTCCAGCCTTCAGGTGACGGCAGCCCCGGGCAGCATCACGACTACATCAGCAACCTTGAACCAGAAACACACATCTAAGCTCCCAAATTCCTGCCTCTCTGAAGCTTTGAGAAAGAATCAGGGTTTACTGTTATTTGAAGCCTCTACTATGATTCAGGGTAATTTGTTACGCAGCAGCGGATAACTAGTACAGACTGTGATTCTATCTAGCGACTGCAGCCTTCATTACATTTGGCCGTGTTTCTATCTGATGCTGGGTTAACTGCAAGTCTTCCTAGAGATAAAAAGAACAGCAGCTGATACATACAGAGCACGTTCTATAACCAGAGCACGTTCTAAGCTCTTTACGAGCGTTAACTCTTTAATCCCACCTAGGAGGCAGGGACCACACTTTTCATCCACCACGTCACAGATGAGGACACTAAAGGGCAGCACCGTCACACCACTGGTAAGTGGGCCCCAAACCCAATGACCGCTGTCTTTAGAAGAAAAAGGAGAGGGAGATTTGGACACAGAGGCACACGGGGAGGAAGGCCTGTGAAGACAGAGGCAGAGATTGGAGTGATGCTGCCGCAAGCCAAGGAACCATGGGAACCACCAGAAGCTGGAAGAGGCAGGGAAGGGTCCTCTCGTAGAGACATGGCCCTCCTGATGCCCTGATCTCGGGTTTCTGGCCTCCTAACTATGAGAGGCTAAGTTCCTGTTGTTTCAAGCCCCCCAGTGTGTTGTAATTCATTACAGCAACCAGGAGCCACAGAGAGGAAAGAATGGGGACAGGAGGGGCTGGGATACAGCAGAGTCACAGGGCTTCTGGGGGCAAGAGGGGGCATTGGACATGGGGACCAGTGGTCACTGCAGCTGCTACAATAGACCAGAGCGTCCCCTCACTTTATGGGGGCCCTGGAAACCCAGAATCAACACTGGCTTGGACACAACTAGGTGACCTTGCGCAAGTCACGTTCCAGATTCAGTGTCGTCATCCACAAGACAGGGATTCTACAAGCTGCAACGTGGTGAGCCCAGGACATCACGGTCAGTGAAAGAAGCCAGTCACAAAAGGCAGAAGCGTCTCAAGGGTCCACCAACAGATGAAGCGATAAACAATGTGTGGTCCATCCATACAGTGGAATATGATTCAGCCTCGAAAAGGAAGGTGATTCTGACACCTGCTACAACACGGATGAACCCTGAGGACACTGGGCTCACGAAAGGATAAATATTATACGATTCCACTTACATGGGGTACACAGAGCAGTCAAATTCATAGAGGCAGAAAGTAGAAGGGTGGGTGCCAGGGGCGGGGGATGGGGAGTTAGCGTTTAATGGCGACAGAGTTTCAATTTTCGAAGATGAAAATGTTCTGGAGATGATGCTGGTGATGGCTGCACAGCAAGGTGGGTGCAGTTAACACTACCGAACTGTACACTTAAAATGGTTAGGATGGTAAATTTTATGTCCTGTGTATTTATCACAATTTTTAAAAAATTAAAAACAAATCAAAATTAAAATCCAGGATTCTAATGCCTACGTCGCAGAATTATTGGAAAGATGCAGAGGGACATCTGCAGAATGCCTGGAACCTAGGGGGCGCCCAGAAGGGGGCGATTATCATGACGATTATGCAGGTCCCTCACAATGACCCTGGGAGCGAGGGGCTTGTTCTTCCGGACTCGCAGAAGTGAGCAAACAAGGCAAATGAGGGTGAGGTGGTCCGCCCACGTGGGAGTCAACTCCGCCGGCCCGAGGCAAAGACGGCACAAGGCCTTCCATCCAGGGCCCCTCCTGGCTCAGCCAAGCGTGGCCCGAGGCATCCTGCCTCACCCCTCAGCCCACCGTGGGTCCCAGCCCTGGTCACCCCTCCAGGAACTCGCCCCCTCCCATGGGCTAGGCAGCAGGCACCTGAGGTGGCTCTTCTTCCAGGAGATCGTGTGGAACACGGTGGACACCACGAAGAGCCCACAGAGGCCGAGGCCGTAGATCCAGGCAGAGATGGTCTCCCAGTCATCGTCCGACAGGAAGTAGAGGTTGGAGCTGCCAAGGATGCTGGGAATGATCCAGAGCTGGAAGCAGGATGGAGAGAGGTGCTGCAGGGCCAGCCTTTGGAGTGGGGTCCAGGCAAATACAGAGCCCCTGAGCAACCCGAGCCTTTTCTCCAGACCTGCACTGTCCAACAGGACTTCCCATGATGGTGGGAAGGTTCCAGATCTTCACTGTCCAACAGAAATTCTATGATGGAGGGAAGCCTCCATCATAGACTCTGGACTGCCCAACAGAACTTCCTACAATGGTGGAAACATTCTAGATTTGCACTGTCCAGTATGGGAGCCACTAGGCACACGCAGCTACTGAGCACTTGAAATGTGACTCGTACCACTGAGGACTTGAAGTTTTCATTTTAATTGGTTTCAATTTCAATTCCAACAGCTACACGAGACCAGAGGCTACCATACTGGACAGCATAACTCTACAGAATATCGTGGTAAAACAGGAAGCCAAGATCTCCTCTCTTCAAGAAGCATCTCTGGCCACTGCCCCCCACCCCCTGGGTCCACTGATACCCCAGCCTCCCGGTCAGGGCACACCGCTTCATGCCTCTGTGCTGTTGCACCTGTGGTTCTCTGTGAAGAAGGCATCCCTCCCTATCATGTCTACTCTTCGAAGCCTGGTTTATCCATCGTTCCCTCTGAGAAGTCTCAGAACTCGCCGAAGCACTGGGGGTACAGGGTCCCTGCAAGGGTTTGCCCAATTTCGTGTGTTAGGAGCACTTTTTCTGGAGAGAGATTCTACAGCAGCCCCAGCCAACAGAACTATAACGTGGGTGGCCCAGGTAATTTTAGATTTTGTAGTCACCACATTTTGAAAAGGAAATTATTTATAGGTGAAATTAATTTTAATATTTTGCTTAGTCCAATATATCCAAAATTTCATTTCAATGTGTAATTAATATGAAAAGTATTAAGAAGATACCTTACATTCTTTTCTTTCCATGCTAAGTCTTTAAAAGCTGGTGTGTATTTTATACTCACAGCACATGTCAATTCAGACAAGCTGCATTTCAGTTGTATGAGGCCAGTGGCTACCAAGCTGGACAGAGTAGGTCTAGAGCTTCATTAAATCCTCAAAGGGGCCCACGCACCAAAGGGTTAAGGACCACTGCCCAGAGAAGGATTTCTTACACAAGGCTGGGGTGGGGGGAGACGGCAAGTATTCCAGGCAGAGGGAACAGCATGTGCAAAGGCACGGGGTCATGCCTTCTATTTCAGAAACAGCAGGTGGCTCAGGGCGCTGGAGCCTGGGGACAAGATCGTGGCAGTGGAAGGTGGGCCAACATAACACAGAGGCTAAGACCTATCTGGGAGCTTGCTACCGAGCCTGGATGCTGTACAAGGTACTAGGGAGCCACTGAAGGTTCTTAAAGTAAAAGAGAGGCACGCTCAGCACCTCCAATTTCCCCAAATGACCTTCCCTCGAGATCCCACACGCTCTTCCAAGGGCCATGGAAGACTTGAGAACAGGCCATGGAAGACTTGAGAACAGGGACATTGCCATGGAACGGAAACACAATCTCTCCAAGGGCAAAGAGGCTGCGTCCGCAGCCCCCCTCTCCAGCTCTCATCCCCCCAAGACTCACAGCATGGGTGGCGCAGTTGGCGGCATGCTCATACTCCGTGGGCTGGTACCTCCTGTGGGCAGGGACTCGGTGGTTCATGAACCTGGAGGGAGACACACAATTCCTGGAAGCTTGGCTGGGAAGCCGGGAGCGGCCCGGGTCACAGAATTCCCAGGAGGCCTTAGGACCTCGGCCCCTGCTGGTGGGAAGAGGGTCCCCCTCCCCTCCCGTCCCCTTTCCCTCCTCCTCTCCCCTCCCCCTCACGCTCCCCTCTCTCCCTCCCTCCCTCCCTCTCTCTTTCCATTACACTTTTTTTGCACTATCCAACATTTTGTGCTTAATCCCCAAAGTGGTGTTTGCTGAATATCGGGTTGCAGGGAATTCCCTGGCGGCCCAGCGGTTAAGACTCGGTGCTTTCACTGCTGTGGTCTGGGTTCGATCCCTGGTCGGGGAACTAAGATCCCGCAAGCTGCGCGCCACAGCCAAAATGAATAAATAAATATTGGGTTGCAGCATCCTCTTCATTTCTTACTTGTAATTTTCTGTAAGCATAACAGACACACAATAGAGCTCCCCAAGGTACGGCTGGATGGACTTCGACGTAGGCACATGCCCACGTGACCACCAGAGCCTCTTCTGCACACCCTAGAAAGCGCCTTTGTTACTGAACCCAGGTCCGGCCGCTCGCCGCTCGAAAGCCAGTTCTCGAGAGACAAGTGTTGGTAGGAAAGGAAAGGTTGCTTTATTTTGGAGGCCGGCAATCGGCGAGGAGGGTGGACGCCTGTCCAAAGGCCGACTCCACCCCCCGCCGACAATCAGGGGGCAAGAGCTTTTACAGACAGAGGGAGGGGGCTACATGCAGGAACAGCGCAGTCAGCTCTGACAGTCGTCTTGAAACTGGTCCTCAGTGGTCTGACCAGCGTCATCTCGATTGTTTTAGGTACAGTTAATCTTCGGTTCCAGGGTCGGTTTGTTTCCATTTCTTTGGGCCAATTCTTGGAATTGTGGCAGCTTATGTCATGGCTACAGCCTGGTCATCACGTAGTTAATGTCTTCCACCTGGTGGGGTTTCAGTACCTATAAGACAGCTCACAGGATATGGCTCAGAATATTATCTCTAGCCCTTGAGGAGGAACTAAAGGTCCTTGACTTTGCTTAATGACTGAACTATTATTATTTGGTCTCCTTTGACTGTGTTCCTCTGTTTCTGCATTTTCTCACTTCTCTGATTAAACTTATTCTTTGGCTAAATTTTTTCCACAGACAAAAGGCAGGCTGAGGACATGGGGGGGGCGGCAAGGACCATAGCGTCCTGCTCCATTTCACCTTTATACCCCTTCCCAGGGGTACTGCCCCCCAAGGACACCCCCCTCTGACACTGCCACCATAGACTAGTTTTGCCTATTCTTGAACTTCCCATCAGTGGGATCACACAGCACACACCCTCTGGGTCCAGCTCCTTGGGCTCAGCATGACTTTTGCCAGCCTCAGTAATTGGCTGTTTTCGTTGCAGTAGAGTATTCCACCCGGTGAGTGAACCACAAGTTATTTATCCCATCTACTGGAGGCGGACGTTCCAGCTTGGAGATGTTATGGTAACTCTGCTACGAGCATTCACTGTAGTGAACACATGCATTCATTCCCGCTGGGCGTAGATCCACACGTGGAATGGACAGGTGACTCTATCTTGACAATGAACATTCCTTTTTTTCTTAACTTTTTTTTTCTTTTTTGGTTGCACCGTGCAGACTGAGGGATCTTTGTTCCTGGACCAGGGATCGAACCCATGCCCCTTGCAGTGGAAGCATGGAGTCCTAACCACTGGACCACCAGGGAAGTCCCAACAATAAGCATTCCTGATGCTCTGGTGTCTTGGAATCTTCCAAGCCCCATCCACTGCCTCCGCCCCATTCTCTCACCTGATCCTCACGGGAGCTCCTGGTACCTGCAGGCTACCATGGAGCCACAGAGCCACCACCATGCCGGGTTTACGGAGGGGAAGCTCCAGGGCAGAGTTAGGAAGTGACATCACCCAGGTGGGATGGGACATGGCCACACCTGGCTGACCAAACTCTCTGCAGGGGTCTTCAGGTCAGGCTGGCGGTGGGGGAGATGAGATCTGCAAACACCTGGCTCTCGGGCGGCAGGCAGGACCACGCTGGCTCAGAATCAGGTAAGTGGACAGTTCACCTTGGACTTTGCCAAGAATCATCCACCAGGTGGGGTTAAACTCCACTAAAACACAAAAAAAAGTTCCCCCACACCCCAGGAACCCAATTATTACTATAAAGACCCACACAAATGAGAAATGGGTGTATGGTTCAGAACAAAGGGCACAATGCAGTACAGTGCACAGAGCATTTATTAAGTGCCCACTGTATGCTGTGTCCGTGCTAGGGGCTGTCCATGTAGCATTTCTTGAGTACCTTCTGTATGCTGGATCTATGCCAATAAAGCAAATACAGTAACAACAAAAATAGGGTTATGGGTTGAATTGTGTCCTCCCAAAATTCCTATGCTGAAGTCCTAACCCCGAGGACCTGAGAATGTGGGACCTATTTGAAAAGAGTTGTTGCAGATGTAATTAGTTAAGATGAGGTCATACTGGAGGGGGGGGGGTGAGCCCCTAATCCAATATGACAGGTGTCCTTATAAGAAGAGGAGAGACACAGAATGAAAACAAAAGGCAGAGACTGGAGTGATGCAGCTTCACGCCACGGATGCTGGCAGCCACCAGGAGCTGGGAGGGAGGCCTGGAGCAGACTCTCCCTCAAGTCTCCAGAAGGAACCAACCCCGCAGACATCTTGACTTCGGACTTCCGGCCTCCAGAATGGAGAGAGACCAGATTTCCGTTATTTTAAGCCGCTAAGTGTGTGTTCGTTTGTTACCACAACCCCGGAGACACTGACACAGGTACACACAGTGTTAGCTTTGATAGATTCTGCCCAAAAGCCCCCCAAAGAGGCGGTGCTAATTTACGCTCCCTCCACTAGGGCTGGGGGGGTGGGGGTCTGAGGCCAACCGTGAAGGGGGTGCAATGGACGCCTTTCTTCCCAGCGGGAAACCAAGTCTCCTCCACCTGTTACTGGGCTGCCCTCTCCCCTGCTCCTTTAACAAACAGCAACAAGCCACCCGCGGTGCCAGCCCCTCGGATCTGAGGGTGATGTCATGGTTGCCGTGGCGACCTGGATGGGCAGTTATTTATTTATTTCTGGGTTCCACAAAACTTTCCTTGTCTGTCACCCAGCCCTGCAGCTATTAGAGAGAGAGAGAGAGAGACAGGGGTCGGGGGCCAGGGCCCCAGGGCCAGGGGCAAACGCCCAAGAAACAGAGTTCCCACAGCCCTCAAGAAAGGAGAACTTTTTCTTTCACTCCTTGTAGCCTAATTTCTTTCTTCCTAAACCTCTAGGCAGGCGTTTGAAGAGGACAATTAATTCACTGTTTACGTTTTTAATTTTCCTTTTAATTTATATTCAGTAAAATTTCCCCTTTTGCTACACATTTTTATGAGTTTTGACAAATGGAGAGAGTTGTATAATTGCCACCATAATCAAGATAAATAAAAGGTCCATCACCGCCCCCCCCATTTGCCCTCCTGCCCCCTGGTGCCCTAACCCTCCCCGCAGCCCAGTAACCACTGCTCTGTTCTCTGTCCCCATAGCTTTGCCCTTTTCCAGAACATCATATAAACGGGATCATATAGAAGCTCTACAGACCTTTTTTTTTAATGTCTAAAGAGAATTGATTGCATAAAATCAAGTGTATTCTTAGGTGAAAAGAAACTGTGCTTTGAATGCCGAACAGGGACTTAGTAATTAGCTCTTGTTTTCTGTGAGAAGAAAATGATGAACCCGCCTAACATTACTATTCTTGGCTGTCATCTCAACCCTTCCAGGCTTCCCCCCCCCCCCCCCCCCCCCCCCCCACACCCTTTTGAGTTTGGCTTTTCTCACTCAGCTTAAGGCAGGTGAGATTCATCCACGCTGTTGCCTGGGTCAATGGTTCCTTCCTTTTTATCATTGAGAACTATTCCATCGTAAGGATGTGTAATGACTTGTTTATCCATTGCCCAGCAGAGGGACAAGGGAGTCATTTTGAACAGCTGAAATTCAGAGATAACGTTTAGACTGTCTGGAACAGCGCTGGCAGTCAGCTAGGCAGCCTTCAAGATTGTGGGAAATTTCAAAGAGTCGACATTTCTAGCAAGCTGCCGCTGGTTCAACGAAAAGAGGGAAATGGGCCTTTGGCCTGCCTTCTGGAGAACAGAATCCCCATTCTGTGGCCAACCCTTGCCACTTAGATAACCACGTGGCCACTGCATTTGATGGGGGTGGGGAGGGCAACTCCACATGGAGGGCTCCCAAACTGAGCTGGCAGGGAGACAAGGACAGAAGGTTGCCTTCCACCCTGAACTGGAGAGGGCAGGGCTTCGGAGCCAGGCACAGCTGGGTGGAAAGTCCCTGTATGATCACTTAGCTGCTGTGTGACATAGGGGAAATGTCTTAACGTCTCTGGGCTGCAACTTCCTTGTGTGTTAAAGGAGATAATAGTACCTAGCCTGCAGGTACCATGAAATGAGACGGTTCAAGAGCCCATACGGGGATGTCTGACATACAGCAGTGCTGGGAGAATAAGTGTTCTTTCCCCCTCTCCCTGGGGAGCTCCCCTACGGAGCCAGGCACCGTTTCCTTACTGGACCCATCCTGGTACTTCACAAAGAGCGCCCCATTAAAGCCCACAACATCCTCGCAAAGTAGTTACTATTATTCCAATCTGAAGAGAAGAGGTCAGACCAGCGTTTCTCAGTCTTGGCCACACATTAAGAATCATCCGGGAAATGGATGGGTGGATAAACAAAACGCAGTCCAGCCACACAACAGGATATTATTCAGCCATCATACCTGCTACAATGAGGGTAAACCTCAAACACACGATGCTCAGTGGAAGAAGCCAGACACAGAAGGTTCCACATTGCGTGGCCCCATTTATATGAAATATCCAGCCAGGCAAATCCATAGAGACAGACAGCAGGTCAGTGGTTACCAAGGGCTGGGGGCAGGGGGAGAAACTGTTTAATGGGTACAGGGGTTCCTTTTGGGGTG